GGGCAGCCGGCTGCGACGACGACGTCGACAACGACGACTGCAATTACGACGACGAGTCTTACTCGACGACGACGACCACTACGACTACCACTACCACTACCACTACCACTACCAGTACCACTACCACTACCAGTACAAGTACCAGTACCAGCACCAGTACTACCACTATTACTAGTACAACTGCTACCGCTACTACGACGACGACGACGATACTACTGCTGCTGCTGCTACTACTGCTGCTACGACTGCAGCTAGTATGACGACGAGGACTACGAAGAATAGCCATAACATTTCTCAAGTGAACAGAACGACCATGCTGATTACAAGAACACTAACAATGGCAACAGTAAGGAGCACCAACAGTAAGGGCAATAGCAACAGACATGACAGCAAGGGTGAGCAGAGTCGCAGAGGTGATGCCAGTAAAGGTCATGATGAGGCCGAGAATTCGAAGGACGACTCGATCGACCGGCCGCCTCCTGGAGCATTGGCGCGCTGGAGTCGCGCAGTAGCTCTACCAATGGCAGCACTGCACCAGCCTCCACACAAGACTCAGTCTGGTAAGGCTGAGACTCGGGACATGTTGCACTTTAACGCATCAGGTGCAAGGACTGGAAGGGAAACCTGTTAATGACTGGCTTTGGTACAATGGTCTGCGGGCTGCCAGTGGGAGTATATTTTCCGTCCATGTTGGGGTATTGCTTTTAGCTTCAGTGCATCCCCTTGAATCGCAAGGGCCGGCAAGAATCGCAAAGCCTGCAGACTCGAGCCACCGAAGTGGTGTCAACATAGCAGTTCACATGTAGCAATCGCCGTAGTTAGTGCAACTGTGCTTTCTTCTTTGCTTGTGTGCACTGTACAATGCTATACATTACATACTGACGTGAAGATACATCTGCCATAAACTCCATGTCGCTGACCCCTTTGCCACAGGCCTGAGAGGCAACATTTCAGTGCGAAATGCTGGAACCTCGAACCCTGCCTAAGCCCTGAATTGTACTGAAAACCTAAACCCTAAACCCCAAGCCCTGAATTCTACTTAGAGTGCCTGGAGGATGGCACTCCGCATCGCCACGCCCTCTCTTGCAGTGCTCAAAAGGCTCATCACAGCCCGGTGCCGCTCCTCGCAGTCTTTATTGGAGTTTCCAAAATTCATCGGTTTCCGGGTTTGGTGTTCATGGATCCACGGGAGGGTGTAGAAGATTCTTGAAAGATTTTTCGAGCTTCTAAGAGGTTTACTCTCTCGCATCTCTCGGAGTTTGGGCAAGCGGCATGGCTGGACTTTCGAATTTCAGGACCAGCGAAAGCCCTGGAGCCAAAACAAACAACCCTCGCCTCCGAGACTTTTTCTGTTGAGTCGGAGTTGAGGGTTCTGGGCTTAGGGCTTTGGGGCTCGGTCCGATGTCGCTTAGGAGTCCGGATTGCGCTTGCTACATCGTGAGTCTGAAGATTCTTCGACATGCTGCAGTATACACGGCAATGTCTCACTTTCCGTGATTGACCGGAGCGAATCCCGCCCTCTGTAGTCTTCCTTCACAAGGCTCTCTGTGGAAAATGCCTGCGGCCTCCACCCTGAAGCCTTAACCGCTAGACTGCGAACCCTTACTCAACCCAGCTCCCCGAAGCCCTGACACCAAGCAAGCGTCCTCGAGGTTCCGGGCTCTGAGATGCTCCACCTGATTTCGGTCTTTAGTGGATGGCCTTAGAGTGTTCGGGCTTTGAGGCGAGTTCCCTTTCTTGGCTCGGGGCCTTTCTTGCGCTTTGCGATGCTGCACCCCATCGCCAAGGCCAGAGTCTCTTTGAAAGGTACCAGGGCTTATCAGCGTCTCTTCAACCCAGTACCCCCAAGTCCCAACCAAAATCCCTCTTCCTTGGGAAAGCAACCTTATGACCCCTAAATCCCAAGGCCTTGGCCACACATCTCCCAAGGCTGAATCCCACGCATACTCTTTGTATCATCCTGTCAGGACTACGAGACGACTCTAGTATCAAGAAGGCAGATTTCTATGCGACACTAAGCCCTATATACATCAATGTACCCAGAACCGTAGCTCACAGATTCCCGGGCCCCGAGCGTAAACAATCAGATCCGGGCTCTTGCCGCGGGCAGTGAAGGTCATGGGCGGGGCCCTGTCTCTAGTGCTTCAGACTTCGAGGCTTGGCTGCAAGGTTAGGGTTTAGGGTTTATAGGGTGTNNGGGGGGTAGGCTCTGGAGGGGCTCTTGGGCTTGCCTCCAGCACCTTGGACTTCGGCTAGGTCTCAGGTTAAAGGCTTTCAGTTCCAGGACGATTCTAACTCAGAAGATTTATTTTGCCACGACTGCTCTTCTCCAGAACTTCTCCACCTATCGGCGGGCCAATCTCCGGTTCTGCTCAGCCACCACTGCCCGAAACTCTAGCATAGCGGTCTGTACAAGTACGTATAGCACTCCTTTCTACGATATGGGCTCTTCGCTGGGAACCCCACCCACAGTCCCAATTCAGACTGAGCTCTATTGAACTCTATTGCTTCTTGGGCATCGGACCACAGGGTCCGGAGTATTGGGCTCAGGGTCCAGGGTTCTTCTAGTGGTGTTTAAGATTAGGGGTTCAGCTTTCAGTGAAGGCCAATGCGGGGGTTTAGCATACATGTAGGCCAAGTGGGTTTGCTTTCAAAGCTGCGTGCTTGGCGGAAATAAGACCCAGGGCGGTTCAGAATGCTGTGTTTTGGGGCTTGGGCCTTGCGGCTCGAGCGGTTTTGACATCTGAAACCCGAGACCCTAACAATTTCGAACCGCTGCAGTCGCGTTTGATTCGACGGTGCCTGCCTTGACGGCAAGGACTCGGGAGCGATCACGGAGATGGAGCCTTTGCTCTGCTCTAGGCCCTTATCCAGCCTTGGGGCTGGGGCTGCCTCGGGTTTTGGGTTCAGGATTTATGGCTTTCGGGTGTCAGGGGTTTGGGGTCTAGGGCTAGGGTTGAAGGTTTCCGTACGTTTGAGGCTTGATTTGCGGGAATCATGCAGGCCGGAGTGTGCGTCCGTAGGCTCGGAAGAAGGGTTTTTGCAGCGGCTGTAGCATGTGGCAAGTGAGACACATGCATAATTCGAGAGCTTGCGTGTCTGTGTCTGCGTTCGCTCCCAGCTTTGTGTGTGCTTGTTCGCATCACCTTATTTCAGAACAGGCCCAACTCGTTTAAACGAAACCTTAAATGGCTCCAACGGGTAGTAGTTAGTAGTCCATCCTTCTGTCCCGGTTCAGGTTCCATGATACTTTGGGAGAATGTACCCGTGTGAAGTCCGCGCTTTCGAGCCTTCGAGCCCCCAACCTTCGGGGCAGAAATCGGGTTTCGAGGTCCTTTCATCAGCCTCCTTCGCCTTACATCCTTACATCCTTGTCGCAGTTCCTTTATCTTACCCAGGGGAAAAACCCTATACCTGAAATGGCAAAGAGCACTTGAAACTATTCAAAGATCCATGAAAGCCCTTGAGCCGACGACTGCACACCCCGCCCTAAACCCTAAACCCCTTCCCCTGGCACAGCCAGGGCTCCCAGGGAAGACGTGGCGCCTCCCGGTGTGGAGCGACCTCGGGAAGCTGCAGGGAAGTGCGCTTTGCTGTCCTGTGCTATGACCATGCCCGAAGGGTCCAAGTACCCATGGTTTAGGGTTTAGGGTT